CTGCACTTGGGAGAACAGACTACAGAGCACAACCTGCACATGGGATAACAGACTACAGAGCACAGCCTACAGAGCACAACCTGCACATGGGATAACAGACTACAGAGCACAGCCTACACAGCACAACCTGCACATGGGATAACAGCCTACACAGCACAACCTGCACATGGGATAACAGCCTACACAGCACAACCTGCACATGGTATAACAGACTACAGAGCACAGCCTACACAGCACAACCTGCACATGGGATAACAGCCTACACAGCACAACCTGCACATGGGATAACAGCCTACACAGCACAACCTACACAAGGGATAACAGACTACAGAGCACAGCCTACACAGCACAACCTGCACATGGTATAACAGACTACAGAGCACAGCCTACACAGCACAACCTGCACATGGGATAACAGCCTACACAGCACAACCTGCACAAGGTATGAGACTACAGAGCACAACCTGCACATGGGATAACAGGTTACAGAGCACAACCTGCACAAGGGATGAGACTACAGAGCACAGCCTGCACATGGGATAACAGGCTACAGAGCACAACCTGCACATGGGATAACAGACTACAGAGCACAGCCTACACAGCACAACCTGCACATGGGATAACAGCCTACACAGCACAACCTACACAAGGGATGAGACTACAGAGCACAACCTGCACATGGGATAACAGGCTACAGAGCACAACCTGCATATGGGATAACAGACTACAGAGCACAGCCAACACAGCACTACCTGCACTTGGGATAACAGACTACAGAGCACAGCCTGCACATGGGATAACAGGCTACAGAGCACAACCTGCACATGGGATAACAGACTACAGAGCACAGCCAACACAGCACAACCTGCACACTTGATGACAGCCTACACAGCACAGTCTACAAATGGGATGACATACCAATAGCATGAAGACATACAGATGGGGGTGTCGACATGTAGATATATATATATATGGTGTGTGTCGACATGTTGACATACAGATTGGGGCATTGACATGTGGACAATTAGATGGCGTGTGTTGACGTGAGGACATACAGATGGGGGCATCGACATGTGGTCATATAGATGGTGTGTGTCGACATGTGCCTGACAAGCCACAGAGACCGATGTACCTGTGATCGAGTTTGCATGGACAGAAACGACATGGAAAAAAAAGACCTGCCATTCTTATCAATGTAGGGAGCCTCTTCATCCTGGCCTATCACCTCGAGGTCACCAGGCATGGAGAGTGCTGCATCTTAGAGCTCTCAGTACATTATCTCTCAAGTAATAACCTCATGGTTTCTCTACGTTCTCCAAGTCAATGCTGAGGAATCCTTTATTTTATTTAATCATCACTGCCAAATATCTCACCACACAAGGAATTGATAAAAATCAATAGTGTCGCTGATCAGGTCATGGCTTCCTCCTCCTACAACGCTGTATGGTAGGAAGAAGAACAGTCATGACACAGTTAAAGGCAGTTGTTACATGATCTTGACACAGTTTTGTCACAGTCTTAATATAGTACGGACAATTGGTTTGGGCCACTGATCAGGAGGGCTTGTTGACAAACCAATATGAGATCACTACTGCAGAATGGTGTAGAATAAACACACTGACAATCTGACTTCTCCAGCATCACATCTTGGCACAAACCAAGTACTTCTAGAAATATAGGCTACTTTGAACGTGAAGACACTAACAGTATCATAAAGATATCTTGGAATAACATCAGTAATGTAGAAATGAACATCATCTCTGATCTGGCAGGACCTGATTTTAAACATCAAGAATAAACATATTTGCCACGACCTGTGTTCAGAAATTTTGCATATTTGGCACGACCAATGTTCATGCTTTGTCCAAGTGTATACATACTTGGCACGACCAATGTTCATGCTTTGTCCAAGTGTATACATACTTTGCACGACCAATGTTTATGCTTTGTCCATGTATTATGCTGTTTATCATTGTCAAGTGTATACATACTTGGCACGACCAATGTTTATGCATTGTCCAAGTGTATACATACTTTGCACGACCAATGTTTATGCATTGTCCAAGTGTATACATACTTGGCACGACCAATGTTTATGCATTGTCCAAGTGTATACATACTTGGCACGACCAATGTTTATGCATTGTCAAGTGTATACATACTTGGCACGACCAATGTTTATGCATTGTCCAAGTGTATACATACTTGGCACGACCAATGTTTATGCATTGTCCAAGTGTATACATACTTGGCACGACCAATGTTCATGCATTGTCCAAGTGTATACATACTTGGCATGACCAATGTTTATGCATTGTCCAAGTGTATACATACTTGGCACGACCAATGTTTACTTGTCCAAGCATGACGACCAATGTTTATGCATTGTCCAAGTGTATACATACTTGGCGCGACCAATACATTGTCCAAGTGTATACATACTTAGCACCACCAATGTTTATGCATTGTCCAAGTGTATACATGGCATGACTTTGTTACATATGCATTGTCAAGTGTATACATACTTGGCTTACCAATGTTTATGCATTGTCCAAGTGTATACATACTTGGCGACCAATGTTTATGCATTGTCCACCAATGTTTAATGTTTATGCATTGTCCAAGTGTATACATACTTGGCACGACCAATGTTTATGCATTGTCCAAGTGTATACATACTTGGCATGACCAATGTACATATGTTTATGCATTGTCCAAGTGTATACATACTTGGCAATGTTTATGCATTGTCCAAGTTATGCATTGTCCAATGTGTATGCATACCAAGTGTATACATACTTGGCACGACCAATGTTTATGCATTGTCCAAGTGTATACATACTTGGCACGACCAATGTTTATGCATTGTCCAAGTGTATACTTACTTGGCACGACCAATGTTTATGCATTGTCCAAGTGTATACATACTTGTTTATGCATTGTCCAAGATACAATGCTTTGTTTATGCATTGTCCAAGTGTATACATACTTGGCGACCAATGTTTATGCATTGTCAAGTGTCATAGTAGATACCACTAGGGTAATGCATCAAGTGTATACATTGAAAACATGACATAGTAGATACCACTAGAGTAACATCAACTGATATTGAAAACATGACAGCCATGATCAATACAGTCAACACAACACCTTTCCCATGGCCTACATTGCACATAGGACACCTCTGTCATGATGAACATGGCCTACATGACACATCTTTCATGATAAATAGAGGCAACAGGACATCACTGTCATGATGAATTTGGTCTACAGGACATCTATGTTATCGAGCAAATGGTCTACAAGACACCTCTTTCGTGATGCACATTGCTAAGATGACACCTCTGTCCGGATGAACATGGTCTATAGGACATCTCTGTCATGATAGAATCAACAGGACACGTCTGTCATGACCTCATTGCAAACAGGACACCTCTGTCACAATGAACATGGTCTACAGGACACCTCTGTTATCGAGCAAATGGTCTACCAGACACATGGACATTGTGTGATGTACATTGCTAAGATGACACCTCTGTCATGATGAACATAGTAAAAAGGACAGCACCGTCATTAATGCCATCTTGTTCCTGTTCTAGTACAAAAGTTCATCAAAAGATTGTAATGGCTTGAAAACCAGGGAATAGCAAGGGTTTCATAGGAGCCCTACACAGGGGGTAGTTCACAGAAATAGATCAAATGGCTTGTGATCTACATATCCGTGGAAGGTTGTTCATGTGTGTCATATTTATGGTCATTTCATATCTAGTTGCTGTAAAATGTGTAAGCTCTCATTACTGATGTAACATTCAGACATATATAATCTATCTTAGCATAAAAATGTACAGTCACAGTACATACATATGCATAATGCTTACCTTGTATGTGGCTTGGTGCATAAATATGTGTAAACATCATTGGGATACCCTGATACATTCACATGTAAATTCAACATCTACTGCATGTCTGTCTACATGCGTATGTATAATTGCCCATTATGTCTGTGGCGTGATACATATATATGTATAATCCCCTATCCTGTCTGTGCTCTGGTACATATATATGTATAATCCCCTATTCTGTTTGTGCCTGGTACATATATATGTAAAATCCCCTATCTTGTCCATGTCCTGCTACATACAAATGTATAATCCCTTATCTTGTCCATGTCCTGCTACATACAAATGTATAATCCCTTTTGTGTTTAGTTTAAACATATTTTATTCACAATGTGAAAAGGATCGGGGACAAGTTCTTACAACTTATGAAATCCCTCTCGAAGAATCAGGATGTACATACGGACGTTTGTGAAAAAATAGTCCCCCGTTCCGTGCTGCGGCGGGGGACAATAACTAATTACATCGCAAACAATTATTAGAAACAGAGACAGAGAAAGATTGACAGTTCAGGAGAAATGTTATAATACAGAAGGTGTATAGAAAGAACACTACTGGAATCGTTTAGATTTGCATATATACTGATGTACATTTTTTAACATAATTTCATATTTATGATTTGTCAGATCTGCAATGCCGCTTAAAATAACATAGTGTAATCACAGAATTACTAGCACATACATCTTGAATAGCTTTAAGCATGATCTTTCTATGTTGATTGTATAAAGAACATTCTAAGAAATAGTGATGAGCATTTTCGCACGGGTTGCCACATGCGATCAGTGATTAGCCCTACTCTGTACAGATTGTAACTTAATCTACTAGCTCCATGACGTAGTTGTGTATGTAATATGTTAAATTTTCTAATACTGTAAGCAAAGAACAGTGGAGCTGAGTTATATGATGCTATTATGCTCGATTTAAATTTTAATCCCTTATCTTGTCCATGTCCTGCTACATACATATGCATAATGATAAGTACAATTATCTGTTGAGTACATAAGATAATCCCCTTCTAGTGCATACTTCAGCATATACACAGCCCTGAAGTCAGATTGCTGATATTGTGCATGTATACACAAATGTATAAGCATAATCGCCTACCTTGTGCATGCCGCCACTGCTGCTGCTGTCTGTGGTACCACTGGTGGCAGTGGAGTTTATGGATGTCAAGGACCCTCTCCGGTCCATTCCAATTTCTTCCAGAGAAGCAGAGTCACTTTCCATATCCCTGAAAAGGAAGTACAATCTCTTGTAATAGTGATCATTTCGTATCAGTGAAAGATGGGAAGGGTTGAGACATATACTACTAGAATACAGTAACTGTGCATTATTTGGTGTTATGCCATTTTTAATGCAAAAAGATGATACCATGACTTGAGGTGTTTTCCTTAATCACTGTTTAACTGGTGACAGGATAATATTGAAATCTGTATGATTTGACATATGGCATCACAACACACTTTTGAAGAGATGTGTCAAAAGCCAGTTCACAACTTCAGTATCATGTGTGTCCACCACTGGCTTGACAATGACGAAGCATAGATGACAGTAAGTGATTGAAGAAAGCTTGGCGAATGTTGTTCAGTATCTGAACCAATGCTTGTCCCAATTCAGCAAACGTCAATTGCTGATTTTGGGCTTGACGTAAATGTCGCTCCATCTCATCCCAAGCATGCTCAATAGCATGCAGGTACTCAATAGGGTACAGGTCTCAATAGGGTACAGGTCTGGGTACAGGTCTAAAGAAACGGCTGGCAAGAGGAGTACTGGAATGTTCAGCTTTTTCAGAAAATCTGTCAAAACACGAGCGACATGTGGAGGGACATGATCTTGCTAATGCGTGAAATAATGTCTCTGTCCTTGAATGAACGGCTGCACATGGGGCCAAATGATCTCATCCCTGTATCGCAAACCTGTCAGATTGCCATTGACAATGACAAATTCTGTCTGACCATGCAATGTTATGTCTTCCCATACTATGATGCTGGTACCACCATACTGTCGCTTTGAACAAAGCACGCATCAGCATACCATTCCCAATCTTGTTTCCTGTACCGTGATGCTGTCTGCACCAGGCAAGACGTGCCTGTCGGTGACATTGGTCAAACTTGGATGTATTGCAGGATGTTGTGCTCCTTCAGTCAGTTCCGTGCAGTTCTGGAACTGATTTGACGTAAGCCAGGAAAGGTCCCAGCAGTCAAACTGGCTATCTGGAATCCTTAGATAGGTCAGCCGAATGTGGTTGTCTTGTTAATGTGACGTCTCGTGTTCCCATTATGTTGATAACGTGACCACAGAGATGAGATTGTGTTTCACTGCCCACTTCATGTTGGGTCATTCTAGTCTCCAGCATACCCATGGTGCAGAGACGCTGATTTTCTGTGAGTTGTGGCATGATGTATGTGCAGTTTAGGTTATAATCAGCGTGTTTTCCACAACATTCAGAGACTAGAAAAACTGTTCTTCAATTTTCAATATCTAGAGTGTGAACTTAAGGTGTCAAAATGCATGCAAAAACTGAGTAAATTCTTTGAGCACAAAGTGCATGTGCCACGCGAGATATGTGACATAAAATTTCATGAAAAGTGGTTTGCTATATATTTATTTTGGGTTAATTTTATAACTTTTCGAATAACTTTTATTCCATCCAAATTGTACTAACCTGTAGGGGTTTCTGATTCTTTGAAAAGAGTCCTCCTTGGGGTACTTATAAGCATTAAAATGTCCAATTTTAATTCCTACGACAGGTGTAACTATATTTTAAATAAAAATATTTACAAAACAAAAAACTGTTTTTGTCTTGTTTGGCCACCCCTGTGGGCCCCAACAGCCAAGAGCAGGTAACTCTAAGCTTGAACTTGTACCTCACTTTTCATGCTGAATGAAAGCAGACAGAATGAGGGGAGGTGGGCGGCCGTACCTTAAGGAGAACTCTTTTCAAAGAATCAGGTTTGTACTATTCTTTTTCATAAGAGATCCTCCTTGGGGTGCTTATAAGCGTAAGACAGACTCCTAAAGACTGCGAGTCGGGTGTGGCAACAAAAAAAACCAACAATAAGTGGAATTCTTCAATCTACGGAGAGAGAGAAACACACTTACCCTGTCACCTGACCGCCGCTGTCAATCAGGCGAGGGCGTGGCTAAGGGGAGGGGCAAATAGCTGCCAAGCTTAAAGCCTGATTGGCTGATAGGGAATAAATAATCCCGCACCCCCAACCAAAGAATTTGGGAGCGGACAGCGAGTAACTTGCTATATATTCCCACTAAATACCCAGCCAGCGATGCATACTGATGGGGATAAGTTAGGGAACAAGGTAACGCTAAAAAGCATATAGGGGCAAAACAATCACCGTTTTCTCATATACCTCCACCAAAATAAGGGAGAGAGTGATAAATCCCGACACCAAGTGGATAAAAACGATAAATCCTGACACCAAATGGATAAAATAGGAGAGGAAACTCAAAAGCTCACTGACCCTGCCCAGTGGAGAAAACTGTTTGACCAAATGGAAATAACGGATGAATGTGCTCGGACGGCTCCAAATAGCCGCTGAGCAGATCTCCTCAATACGCCACATATGCCTTGGAGGTGACCACTGCACTAACCAAATGAGCTTTCAACCCTGCTGGGGGAGTTAAGCCTTTATGAACTTAACCCATACAAATGGCAGAGTCAAGCCACCGAGAAATGGTTTGCTTATTTGCTGGAAGGCCAGCCTTACCACTGCCATAACAGCAGAACAGCTGTTTATCCTTATGGATAGACACTGTTTCATATAACCCTTGAGAGTCATCTAAGACGTGAGCATGCCGAAGAGAGGTACCGGACGATGGAGGCTGAGTGAAAGCTTGAAGTTCAATAGGCGCCGTTATGTGAAAGGAGCCTGCGATCTTAGGACAGTGAGAATCTGGCAAGCGAATACTAACCTTGTCTTTATAAAAGACAGTTAGTTCAGGATCCGCTGAAATTGCATGAATGTTGCCGACCCTTCTGCCAGATGTTACCCCCAAAAGAAAGGCTGCCTTCCAACTCAACAGCTGAAGTGAGAGGGATGACAGCTCATGAAAAAAGAGGACCGGACAGCCAATCAACAACGATTGACAAGTCCCACGGGGGACTAATCTGCCGTACAGCCGAACAGGTTCTGTCCATGCCTGCTAAACAGTGCTGCACAAGAGGGTGTTGCCCCAAGAGTACACCATCGGCAGGAATGTAGAAGGCAGAAATAGCCATGGAGTAGCATCTGATAGCAGAAGTGGCGAGACGGGCTTCTAATCGAGACTGTGAAAACGCCAAAACCGTGATTATATCCGACACACCAGCGCGCATAACAGGCCCATCTATCCTAATATCCTCAACATTTGTCAAATCCCTCTGCAAAGCCAAAATTGTGTCTGCAACTCGTGCAGGAATTCCACTCACTTGGAGGCGATTCCGGACAGTGGCCAAGCCACCCACTGAATCCTTGGATTCGGGTGCGGTGCTCTGTTCTGGGATAGTAGGTCCGGTCGAAAGGGTAATAATACAGGAGGCTGAGCCAGAAACCTGAGAATTACCGGAAACCAGCAATGAGTCGACCAAATAGGTGCAAGGAGCACAAGTAGTCACGCTGGTTGGCTGGCCAGCTGCAATAGGACCCTGGGGATCAGTGGTATTGGTGGAAACACCAACATTACCTTCCAGCTGGAAGGCGTTGGACGCGATGGTTCCCAGATCCGGTATCCAGGAGCAAAACACTGGTATCTGATTTGTCACTCCAGAGGCAAACAAGTCCACCTGGAACGACCCTGGCAACCAACCCCAGGGCATCACCTGTATGTCGAACTGGTTGCACCAAAGCAGAAACTGCCATGCTTCCTGAAGGAGAGACGTAGACACGGTACCGCCTCGCTTCAGGATGTAGGTCATCGCTGTCTGGTTGTCCATCTCTAGATGAACCACCCGGCTTTGTACCTGTTCCACCAAGTGGATGCCAGTCATAGGTAACTTGTCTAGTACCTGTGCTGGCTCTGCTGAGGGCCCCCGAGGAAGTGTTACTGGGAAGCCAGGGCTGACTGGCTTCTGCTTCCTCAGACAAGACTGCTTGCCCTTTCCCCTGCCCTTAGCCTTGCCTCGATGCGACTGAAGTGGTGCAGACCACTTGTGCGCTTCCTTGCCTGATGTGGAAGGGTATGCTGAGGCAAGCGCAAGAAGATGAAGGCTGCTCCAGTAAGGGTTAAGAGTCCTTAAATGTAGAGAAGCCTCTGCGGCCTCCTGTGATGGCACCAGGGAACAGGGTAGAACCCAACCTGAAGGGGATGCTACGCTTTTTTCAGCAAGTTTGGCCATAGTCGTGGAGGAAGACGAAGCACCTAAATTCGATTTTTCGTACCTCGTTGGAAGCTTTTTTGATGGTGGGTTTTGTGCTTGCAGAAAAATGTGTCGCAACAGTCACCACATGAAAACGAGCGACCTGGCGGCAAAGTTACAACAAATTATGGATGGAAAATGAAGCGTACATATTCAATCTATCGACCGTGCTAAAAGAAATGATCCATACATACAGTGAGAGAGTGAGTGAGTTTAGCTTTACTCAACACTCAGCAATATTCCAGCTATATGGCGGCGGTCTGTAAATAATCGTGTCTGGACCAGACAATCCATTGATCAACAGCATGAGCATCGATCTGCGCAATTGGGAACCAATGACATGTGTCTACCAAGCCAGCTAGCCTGACCACTCGATCCCGTTAGTCACCTCTTACGACAAGTATGGGTTACCGAAGGTTCATTCTAACCCAGACCTTCACGGGTACCATAGATACAGAATTTACTTCTTTCACCCTCATAGTGTCACTTGAAGAATTTAATTCTATGAACCCATGCACGCGTCTTGTCACAAGAACGAAGGCATGAAAAGTGAGGTACGAGGTTCACGATTAGAGTTACCTGCTCTTCGCTGTTGGGGCCCACAGGGGCCCTGCAGGGGTGGCCGAACATGACAAAATGCTTATAAGTACCCCAAGGAGGATCTCTTTTGAAAAAGAATTTATGTTATGCAAAGTTTCTTCTTTCCATTAGCATACAAGAAACTGCTGAACCCTATATCTCAATATTACTGTTAACATCCTACCTACTAACAGATAACCCCTCCACAGAACCTGACTTGCCTGTGACTAACCCAGACCCTTGCAAACAGCATGAATAGTCTCAGGCTAACACCTAAACCTCTGGAACCAATGACCCATACATACCTGCTGACTCTGCTCCCATAGAAGAGTTTAGGTGGTGGTTTGAACATGGTTGGTTGTTTGTCTTTGAGTGCATCATGCATGTACATCATACGCTCCTGGATGAGCTCCCTCATCTTCTTCACCCACTGCTGCTTGGTGTCCAGTGAGGATGCCTAGAAACACAAACAACCTTCACAGAGACGAGAAACACAAACATTCAAACAAAGCCTACACATAAACAATATTCACAGCCTTCACAGAAGACGAGAAACACAAACAGCCTTCACAGAAGACGAGAAACACAAACAGCCTTCACAGAAGACGAGAAACACAAACAGCCTTCACAGAAGATGAGAAACACAAACAGCCTTCACAGAAGACGAGAAACACAAACAGCCTTGACAGAAGACGAGAAACACAAACAGCCTTGACAGAAGACGAGACGAGAAACACAAACAACCTTCACAGAAGACGAGAAACACAAACATTCAAACAAAACACAACATTTTCCCATCAGGCCTATAAACAAACATTATTCCAATGAAGCCTACTGGAAAAACTGAAAAGTTCTTTCTCTGAAACTCTCTGTCTTCACTCAGTTGGAATAAGAAATAGAATAATTAGCTTGGGGGAGGCATGGGGCCCTATCAGCACCTAGAGCAGATAGCACAAATGCAATATGGGAGAAAGAATTAGTTTGAAAGAATTCTGCTTGATGGCTCTTTGTTACAAAGGCAGTTTCAGTATAGGTCAAGGATCACCATTAAAACGTCACTGGTATGAAGAATATAGTACAATGTCAGCAAGTTTCCAATGCACTGCACACATACTTGTTATTGTTATAGTGCTGACCAATCAGATGGCTAGGCAATATTGATACAATAAAAAACAAAACTAGTTTACGGGCAATTAATTATAGGATTGGGTCATGTAGGATGTATGTTAAGTGTAGGATTGGGGCATGTAGGATGTATGTTAAGTATAGGATTGGGGCATGTAGGATGCATGTTAAGTATAGGATTGGGGCATGTAGGATGTATGTTAAGTATAGGATTGGAGCATGTAGGATGCATGTTAAATATAGGATTGGGGCATGTAGGATGCATGTTAAGTATAGGATTGGAGCATATTTGGGCCAGGTGTTTCAGTGTTATTGCTATCTTCTTTCAGGGGCCTGTGGAGAAGGCTTGGTCTGAATTCTCTACAACCTAATGTTACCTTAAGTATAATTCTGTAGTCGGAGATCGGAGCTCTACCAGTCCACAGGGCAAACTTGGTTTCATCTCCCTCAATGTGCTCTGTTACATTAACTTCTGAGATCTGAAACAAACACAACTAATGTCAGCAACCAACAAGCATAGGGAACAAACTGCCAGCATACACCAGAATAAACACAGACCAAATAAGTATCACATTCAGAGGCGACAGTGCTTACTATTAAATGGTGTCTCTTAATTGTATACTGCTGACAAACATTAAGGGAACTGATGGTGAGGATAGTTTCCATGAATGTCCGTCAAGTTATTTGGGGTGAGTAGATCAACATCTGGTAAATTACACCTTGATACTGTTGATTGACTTGTGTATGGTTGCCTGCCATTCCACCAGAGGATCAGCTGGTGCTGGGTCTCTGGACAGACTCTCCAGCCGACAACATCCAATAAATGCTCTATGTCAGTGACAATCTATCATGATGTGGTCTGGCATTCTGTTATTACAGTTCAAAATATCTGCTGATCATTTAAGCGAATAACACAATGACCAAATGCAATACTTCGTCAACATATCACTGACACTGGCCAGTCAAATGTCCATTCCCATTAACCAAATGATTCTGTGAATCAGTGTGAACCTGGCCAACATCATGACACTTCCACCTCTATTCTGAACATGGTCAAGAATTGTTCCCCCTGGCCTTTTGACTTCCATTGTCTATACAATTGTTTTGTGCTCACAATTTGCCATTTTGTCTTGAAGACAGTTATTGTGAGTTTCCCTAGAGGTGCATACACTTGAACTTGAATGCTGTTCATGAATGATGTGGAATATAACTGTGATTAGGTGTTGCATTCAAATGTACTGTGAGCGTACATCTCAACAATAGCTACATCTAAATGTATTGTGAATGTACCCCTATACCATAGCTATCTAAATGTATTGTGAATGTACATCTCAACAATAGCTACATCTAAATGTATTGTGAATGTACATCTCAACTTAGCATGTTATATATATTTTCAGTTGACTGATGTTTAATCTTCATTTCTGTCACAAATAATGTGACACATAGTCGCAACTCGTTTAATACCATTGCGGCAATTCCGATTGTCTCGTTTGACCCGGAAATTGAAGCAACTCTCTATTATCGGTATTGCTATTTTCTTACTATGGCACGCTGTACAAGCAGATGACACTGTGAAACGTTTACTAAGACAAGTAACGAATCTAAATAGTTTGATCATTAAAAAATATTTAGGAATTTCATTCACATTAGTAATAACATCATGTTTTTAACCCAAACATCTGAAACTTCTATTCATTTGGATACAAGGTAACAATAACGTTACACAATATTGTTTTTCCACCTTAAAACGTACCATACAAGTTGCTGCTGTGTGTAGAGTGAAGGTGCATAATACGTCACTTCCTGTTATATTTTTAGCACGGAAAATATGCAAATGACCTTATAGTTGTCGCAGGATTACTCTTGACAAAGTAAGTTTTGATTCATGCTAGATGTAATGGCAGTCGGGGTCATTCTAGTTTCAAAATGTTCTAGAACTTACTGAAAAGATGAATGCTTTAATATTTCTACGATTAGACATGACATTCCAATGAAATAAATGACTTTTTCAAGAGCGATGAATATATTTACGTAATTTGCATATGTAAACAGCCGATGCAGGCGTGGTGTTTCTGCTTTCCCAATGTTTTCGCGTGCCGCGATAATAGAGAGTCCCAGTATACATCTCAACAATAGCTACATCTAAATGTATTGTGAATGTACCCCTATACAATAGCTACATCTAAATGTATTGTGAATGTACATCTCAACAATAGCTACATCTAAATGTATTGTGAATGTACCCTATACAATAGCTACATCTAAATGTATTGTGAATGTACATCTCAACAATAGCTACATCTAAATGTATTGTGAATGTACCCCTATACAATAGCTACATCTAAATGTATTGTGAATGTACCCCTATACAATAGCTACATCTAAATGTATTGTGAATGTACATCTCAACAATAGCTACATCTAAATGTATTGTGAATGTATCCCTATACAATAGCTACATCTAAATGTATTGTGAATGTACATCTCAACAATAGCTACATCTAAATGTATTGTGAATGTACATCTCAACAATAGCTACATCTAAATGTATTGTGAATGTACATCTCAACAATAGCTACATCTAAATGTATTGTGAATGTACCCTATACAATAGCTACATCTAAATGTATTGTGAATGTACATCTCAACAATAGCTACATCTAAATGTATTGTGAATGTACCCTATACAATAGCTACATCTAAATGTATTGTGAATGTACATCTCAACAATAGCTACATCTAAATGCTCAACAATAGCTACATCTAAATGTATTGTGAATGTACCCCTATACAATAGCTACATCTAAATGTATTGTGAATGTACATCTCAACAATAGCTACATCTAAATGTATTGTGAATGTATCCCTATACAATAGCTACATCTAAATGTATTGTGAATGTACATCTCAACAATAGCTACATCTAAATGTATTGTGAATGTACCCCTCAACAATAGCTACATCTAAATGTATTGTGAATGTACATCTCAACAATAGCTACATCTAAATGTATTGTGAATGTACCTCCTATACAATAGCTACATCTAAATGTATTTGTGTGAATGTACATCTCAACAATAGCTACATCTAAATGTATTGTGAATGTACATCTCATACAATAGCTACATCTAAATGTATTGTGAATGTACATCTATACATCTAAAATGTAGCTCTCAACAATAGCTACATCTAAATGTATTGTGAATGTATCCTACTATACAATAGCTACATCTAAATGTATTGTGAATGTACATCTCAACAATAGCTACATCTAAATGTATTGTGAATGTACCCTTATACAATAGCTACATCTAAATGTATTGTGAATGTACATCTCAACAATAGCTACATCTAAATGTATTGTGAATGTACATCTCAACAATAGCTACATCTAAATGTATTGTGAATGTACATCTCAACAATAGCTACATCTAAATGTATTGTGAATGTACATCATCTAAATGTATTGTGAATGTACATCTCTGGCCAACAATAGCTACATCTAAATGTATTGTGAATGTACATCTCAACAATAGCTACATCTAAATGTATTGTGAATGTACATCTAATACAATAGCTACATCTAAATGTATTGTGAATGTACATCTCAACAATAGTTACATCTAAATGTATTGTGAATGTACATCTCAACAATAGCTACATCTAAATGTATTGTGAATGTACCCCTATACAATAGCTACATTCAAGTTTTTTCCCTTATTTTCTGTTGGTTGAATTTGAATGACTAAAACCTTCATGGAATATTCCGAAACGAAAAAAGATCTGTATTTTTTTTAAGTAACCAGATTTAATTGCCAATGCAACACGAACAGCCAGCTGAAGACCGATGTAGGCACTGTTTCAGTTTCTGCCTCTCGCTTAAGGAATGGTTAACCAGTTAGTAAATGACAGTTATGGAAGACTATTTTCAGCATTTTGCTTTAATAAAAATGTAATTATTTAAGTAAAATTGATATTTTGATACTTATCCTGACTCATGATCTTTTGCTTATCTCCCTTTCCTTTTCGAATGGTAGTGGAACACTTGAATCCCTTGAAGTTCCGGAAGCGGACGTAAAAATACACTCACCCACGAGTTACCTCCCTTTTGCCCTTTTCCTGCGCAAACAGTCATGTGACCAGACTTACTTGTCACTCTCTCCTGAATTTCTGCCCATGCACTTGGATCTGCTGTGAAATCCAAAGTGTCTTCAGCGGGGAGGTTGGGAGGGCTTCTTGTCATGAGTCAGGATAAGTATAAAAATATCAATTTTACTTAAAAATTACATATTTTTACTTATCCTGACTCATGATCTTTTGCTTATAGAAGCCGATGGATTGGTGGTGGGTCAGGCCACTTCCTGCATTCATCAGCTGTCCTTAGATACGTCCTGTATCCCCCCCATGGGAACTGCGAAACGGCATATCCGTGATCCTATTCTTCCAACTTCCGTTATAAATCGGGGGGACCACTTTCTTGTCTTACTTCAGTCTCAGACAAGTTGAATCATGTTGATTCATGTGGCTACAGATAAACTAGTATCTTCTTATTACTAGATATCTCATACAACCCATAGCTTATGATAAGGTCTTTATCATAAATGAGTTGCGACACCTTCACGTACAGGATCTTTAATCACTCATGCTAGCCTGTGCTAGACTGTCGCATGGACTTTCAAAGTAATACTTTTCTTTAGTAAAGTTATCTACAAGTCACCGTGATAAAGGGTGAGATTTTCCAACTCAACGCCTTTGAGGAACCGTTAGTTGCTGTGCTACAACGAGAGGCCCAAATTGGTGAATGCCTGAGACGTCTTCAGTGGCTATGTCTCGGAGGTAGTGGTTGGCAAACACTGTGTCCGACTTCCAAAAGCAGCCCTCCATAATTGTTGGTATACAGCAATTTCCGCGTAGAGCCAGTGTTGACGCCAGTGCTCTGACTTCGTGTGGGTTGGAAGCTCTAGGAGGTTCTAGTCCTGCTGCTTTATAGGCTCGCAATATGATGGCTCTCATCCAGACTTCTGCTGATGTCTCTATTGATAATGGGATGAACAGGCGCTTGAATTTTTGTCTCCTTGTCTCAGTCATTTGAAGATATATCTTCAGGGCTCTGACCGGACACAAGGATAGGTCTTCTATATTCTGTGGGCCGAGGATTGTAGAAGCGCTGGTACGTGGAACTGTCTATCTGGCTGACCAGGTAGTTGGTTCTTGGCAATGAAGTCCAATCTAAGTCCTAGATGAACTGCAGCATGTTGCCCCCTATCGAATCTGGATCGACCAAAGTCCAGCACATGTATCTCTGATATTCGAGCTGCCATGGCTAGCGCAAGCAGGAACAGAGTCTTCTGTGTCAGCAGCTCGAGGGTAGTCTGGTCTAGAGGTTCATAGGCATCACTTGTAAGATGACGTAGAATTACATTCAGATCCCAGGCCGGAGCTCTGAACTTCTTTTGCTGGTCCTCCAGTTTAAAAGATCTCAGCAGAGCAAGTAAGTCTGGTACTTTCGTCAACTTGATGCCTGTTTTCATGGTAATCACTGTACTGATGGCGGCAAGGTATGTAGATAATGTCAAACCTTTCAGATGTCTGGTCTGTCTAAGATGACACAGATATTCTGCCACTTGAGGATGAGTAGCTATCATCGCAGTGAAGCCTTTCCGCCTTGCATAAGTCTCAAAGTTCAGCCATTTGTCATTTTACAGGTTACGAGTAGATCTGCGTAACGCTAGCGTTACTACCTTGGCTGCCCTGGCAGAGTATCCTCTTTTCTTCAAACATGTTTTGATACGGTCCACACGTGTAGCTGGAACACTGTAGGGTTCCCCCTTGACTTGCTTGCTGTGCGGATGTATGAGTAGGTTCGGCCAATCTGGTGACTTGATTGCTGGACTTCCGAGATCTTCTATTAGGTCTAGGAACCATACTCTCGCTGGCCAGTAGGGCGTGACCAAAGTCAGGTGTAGCGCCTGTGTCTGTTTGATCTTCAACAGTACTTCCAGTAGTAATATCAGTGGTGGAAACGCGTAGGTGTTTAGTCCTTCCCATGATATGCTCTGTGCATCTGTTGCCCAGGCTAGAGGATCTGGAACTGGCGAGACAAACGTCTGTAGTTGTTTGTTGAAGCTCGTGGCAAACAGGTCTATGCAAGGGGATCCTATTTCCCTTATGATGAGCCGGAACGCTTCTGGATGGAGCATCCATTCTGTAGGTGACGGGTGCAGTGGTCGGGAGAGAGTGTCTGCAAGCACGTTCTTGGCTCCCGGGTATGTGACACGCCTTTATCCAGATGTTTGCTTCCTGCGTGATGTGGAACAACTGGAATGTGAGCTGTAGCAGGCTTGGAGACCTTGTCGATCCTTGCCGATTTATGGAGAATGCCACTGTAGAGTTGTCCGTGTGGACCATCAGCATTCTGTTGTTCAGGGAGCTCGACCATAGTTGTAAGGCGTTGATCACGGCTTTCATCTCCAGCAGATTGATGTGAAGATGCTGCTCTATTTTGGACCACCTTCCTGACGCAACTTGATTGTTGAGATACGCACCCCAACCCTGCATCGAGGCGTCTGCGTAGAGATGTGTGTCGAAGGCCCGCTCTTGTAGATAGGTCCCTACACAAACGTTCGACCTGTGCGTCCACCACAGTAGATACCTCTTGAGGTTGTCTTGCAGCAAGACAGGGTCGACGCTGTCTAGATGTTTTGTCAGGAAACGTTGCAGCGGTCTTAGTTGTAACCGTCCTGTGCGAGTCAAGTCCTGCGCCGAGGTTAGTAGACCGAGTAGAACTTGCCATGATCGTAGTGTTAATGAAGAGATGACTGCTGGTGGAATCATGGCTTGTATCTTGACCCAACAATCTTCTGGGACGACAATATGATTCTGTGTTGTGATAAACCTTATCCCCAGAAATTGTAGATCTTGTTTTGGTTCCAACTCTGACTTCATAAGGTTCACCAGCCATCCTAGTTGAGTCAGCAACTTGATTGTTAAGTTCAGCTGTAGTTTGAGTTGACTGGCATCTTGGTGAACCTGAATTCCGTCGTCCAAGTAGAAGGCATTACGTAGACCTCGATGATGTAGGTATGCGACTATAGGCTTGGTTACTCGAGGGGGTGGAAGACTCCAGTCGTACCGAACCTTGATATCAACGTTTAGTTCCTCTGGATCCTCTGGAAGTGCGTCCTCTCCCTGAGTTTCCTCTGTAATTTCTGTATGGTCGACGAAAAGATCCTGTGCCGCCTCTGAAGCTGGGGTACTTCTTGTCCTTTGCCTTCTGTATGGTGGAATATTTGGACTTGCTGTTATACTTTTGCGAAGTATGACGGATGACGTTGGCCAGAGTATCTATGGATTTTATCATCATAACTGCTCTAGAGTCGTTTGTAGCTTCCTCAGCTGCATCCTCTATTTGTCCTCCAAAGATAGTAGGCGCCTCCCATAGACCTCTCAGTAGCGGTTGGGTGAATCCATGAACAGGATGCAAGTAGCCCTTGTCTGCGTAGTAAAGTGAGACCTGCAGATATAGATGCCAGATGGTCAGATAAAAAAGTATTGGTCCTTCTTCTGTGTTGGGGCCGAATATATCATTCTATCCTCTTCCGAACTTGAATTCTGGAATTTATTGATCAATGCTTCATTGATGGCTCTGGACCTGGCCAACCCGAAGAAGGATCTCCTTGAAGCAATATCCAGTTGAGATAACTTTTTATCTTCCACTTTATACATCTTGTTTTTGGAATCGTTGACTAGCTTTATGTTGTCATCCCATTCAGGCGCTTTTGTAAATGGATCCATATGATGTAAGGGGAATCTCTTCACATTAAATGATGGTAGGTGCTGACTCTGGTACTTGGAAGCTTTCGCGAAAGCTGTGCGTAGGTTAGAGGGTACCTTGGATATAGGTTCAATTGGAGGAATAGTGACAGAGTCGAAGTCATCATTAGGCATCATATAAGTGTAAATTTCATCTTTATCCTTAGAAGGAGACTCCCAAGTTCAACCCGTTGGCAATCCACGCTGTAACCTGTGAGTCTGGGAAGACGAAGTCTGCTTGCTGATCCAAGGTCTCCTGAATATTAGTGCTAGGTCTCTGCAACTCATCCATCTGCGAACCTGTTTCCCTTCTCGAACCTTTCATCATCCTTTCGCGAATCTCTATCTGAAGATTCCTCCCTATGCGAACGTCTATCTTGAGAGTGCTCTCTTTGCGAACCTCTATCTGTAGATACATCTCTTCGCGAACCTCTGTGATGTGAGCTATCCCTTCGCGAACGTCTGTCCATGGATATAACCTTTCGCGAAACTTCTGTGATGTGAGCCTTCTCTTCGCGAACCTCTGTCTCGTGATGAGTGACTTCGCGAATGTCTGTGAGAGATATGAGATCTCGATCTAGAGCGGTTAGATGTAGGAGATGGATCCTTCAATGTTCTTGAACGTTGAGGGTTCGCAGATGTAGAACTGTGAGTAGGCATCTCATCTCTTCTATCCTCTTTCAAGATGACAGAGTCGTCCGACTGTGGAGACCTTTGCACAGGTGTACGTTCGCCAACGTAGTCTTGAGACATAGTTCTATGAGGAGTAGGTTCGCGCAGGTCCATAGGTTCGCACAGGTCCGTAGGTTTGCGCACAGTGTCGGTAGATGAGAGGTTTCGCCGAGCCTTCGCTTCTTCCCGGAACCTACGCTCCATCACGGCCATCATCTGGTTGGTGAATTGTTTCATAAATTCGCCCGGGTCAAAGTTCTGCATTTGTTGAAGCTGCTGCGGTGTAGACAAAGCGTTGCAAACGCTGATGAGTTCTGCGCCTCAACTTCACTGCGATGTAGAAGAAGATGACATCTTTTTCTTAGCTTGAGACGGAGTCCACTGCGTTGTAGACGAGCTCTTCTTGGCTGCCTTACCAGCAGACTGCCCCTGTAACGCACTAAACATAGCACCAGTATCATGAACTTCAGCAGTAGCAAGCAACATACGGTTTGAGGGCTGATCTCCTGTTTTATCAGCCGTGACTTGACATGACTTCCTCACCCAATCAATGGCACGTCTATAGATATAAGACAAATATTGATTAAATTGAAGACTTGATAAATCAACACAATAAGTACAGCGCAAGCTGGAAGAACATGGTTTTATGCACAAAGGGCACTGGGGGTGAGGATCAGCCACGGATAACCTGTGCCTGCAAACACTGCAGGATTTCATGACATGTAAACAAGAGCCATCAGAAGATGACATATCCCCCCGGCCCCCACATATTTGAAAGAACAAATCATCTGACAGTTACTTAAAGTCCAGCTTGACTTTTTTTAAAACTAAGTCCAAATCATATCAATGGAAATCATGAGAAATATAAATGCCAAAAATCTGTAAATAGCAAAAGGCACCATTTCAACATTTGCCTAATATATCTGCCAATTTCTGTTGAAAGAAACTGAACGCTTTTCGAGTTGTGCACCGGAAATGAAGCCCACCCCTCCCTTTTGGGACTAAGTCCGAATTGTTTCCATGGAAACCGAGAAAATAATAAATGCCAAAAATCTGCAAATAGCAAAAGGCACCACTTTGGCCTCTGCCTCACATATCTGCCAAGTTTTGCTGAAAATTTTTAAGAAGTTTTCGAGTTGTGCTCCGGAAACAGAACCCACCCCTCCCTTTTGAGACTATGTCCAAATCGTTTCCATGGAAACCAGAAAAATTAAAAATGCCAAAAATCTGCAAATAGCAAAAGGCACCACTTAAGGTTCTGTGTGATATATCTACCAAGTTTTGTTGAAAGATATTGAACAGTTCTTGAGTTACGCTCCGTAAACGAAGCCCGCCCCTCCCTTTTGGGACTAAGTCCGAATCGTTTCCATGGAAACCGGGAAAAATAAAAATGCCAAAAATCTGCAAATAGCAAAAGGCACCACTTAAGGATCTGTTTGATATATCTACCAAGTTTTGTTGAAAAATATTCAACGGTTTTTGAGTTATGCTCCGGAAACGAAGCCCACCCCACTTAAAAAAGTCCAAAACGTTTCCATGGAAACTGAGAAAAATAAAAATGACAAAAATCTGTAAAGAGCAAAAGGCACCACCTTAGGTTCTGTTAGGCTGGTCACATGACTGTTTGCGCGGGAAAAGGGCAAAAGGGAGGTAACTCGTGGGTGAGTGTATTTTTATGTCCGCTTCGGGAACTTCAAGTGATTCAAGTGTTCCACTACCATTCGAAAGGAAAGGGAGATAAACAAAGATCATGAGTCAGGATAAGTAAAAATGTATGACTTATGAAACTAGTATATTCACCCAACAAATCACAATTGGCACATTGCATTGTTTGTTTGGGTAAATAAATACTTAATTTTATTACAACAGTTCATGTAAGATATTTATTGATCACACAAATTCATATCAATTATCATTAAAATATCTTCAAATCAATGATATTTCCAATCATTTTTAGCCAGCCCTATCATACTCACCATTAATTTAAATTTATACATATATTTGGATTTGCCAGTGCTGTCTTTAACCTCCTTGGCAAATATGAGACAGACATCAAACAGGAAGATGTGCCGCTCACGGCCCTTCTTGATGAGTTGCTTGGGGTCCCACACGGTGAAGTTGTCCTGCAGCAACACCTCCCCCAGCGCCTCAAGACTCTCCTCCACACCCTCCAACATGCTCAGGTGCATTGCATCGTTTGCTTTCTTGGGCACATTTAGCATCACATCCAACCCATCCTGGGAACGGCAAAGAGAGATGGTTAAAAGAGCAGAGATTTTTTACATGCTTGTCGGCATTAATATAAACATCCCATCTGTAATTCCCTGTGTCAGGTGTTTGTATGAAAGCACAGCAATACAACTATCCCACCTGTATTTCCCTGTGTCAGGTGGTGGTGTGAGTGTACAACTATACAACTATCCCACCTGTATTTCCCTGTGTCAGGTGGTGGTGTGAGTGTACAACTATACAACTACTCCACCTGTATTTCCCTGTGTCAGGTGGTGGTGTGAGTGTACAACTATACAACTATCCCACCTGTATTTCCCTGTGTCAGGTGGTGGTGTGAGTGTACAACTATACAACTACTCCACCTGTATTTCCCTGTGTCAGGTGGTGGTGTGAGTGTACAACTATACAACTATCCCACCTGTATTTCCCTGTGTCAGGTGGTGGTGTGAGTGTACAACTATACAACTACTCCACCTGTATTTCCCTGTGTCAGGTGGTGGTGAGTGTACAACTATACAACTACTCCACCTGTATTTCCCTATGTCAGGTGGTGGTGTGAGTGTACAACTATACAACTACTCCACCTGTATTTCCCTATGTCAGGTGGTGGTGTGAGTGTACAACTATACAACTACTCCACCTTTATTTCTCTACATGCTCCTGTATTTCCCTGTGTCAGGTCAGGTGGTGGTGAGTGTACAACTATACAACTACTCCACCTGTATTTCCCTATGTCAGGTGGTGGTGTGAGTGTACAACTATACAACTACTCCACCTGTATTTCCCTGTGTCAGGTGGTGGTGTGAGTGTACAACTATACAACTACTCCACCTGTATTTCCCTGTGTCAGGTGGTGGTGTGAGTGTACAACTATACAACTACTCCACCTGTATTTCCCAGTGTCAGGTGGTGGTGTGAGTGTACAACTATTCCACCTTTATTTCTCCGGTGTCAGGTGGTGGTGTGAGTGTACAACTATACAACTACTCCACTTGTATTTCCCTGTGTCAGGTGGTGGTGTGAGTGTACAACTATACAACTACTCCACCTGTATTTCCCTATGTCAGGTGGTGGTGTGAGTGTACAACTATACAACTACTCCACTTGTATTTCCCTGTGTCAGGTGGTGGTGTGAGTGTACAACTATACAACTACTCCACCTGTATTTCCCTATGTCAGGTGGTGGTGTGAGTGTACAACTATACAACTACTCCCACCTGTATTTCCTATGTCAGGTGGTGGTGTGAGTGTACAACTATACAACTACTCCACCTGTATTTCCCTCAGTCAGGTGGTGGTGTGAGTGTACAACTATACAACTACTCCACCTGTATTTCCCTGTGTCAGGTGGTGGTGTGAGTGTACAACTATACAACTACTCCACCTGTATTTCCCTGTGTCAGGTGGTGGTGTGAGTGTACAACTATACAACTACTCCACCTGTATTTCCCTGTGTCAGGTGGTGGTGTGAGTGTACAACTATACAACTACTCCACCTGTATTTCCCTGTGTCAGGTGGTGGTGTGAGTGTACAACTATACAACTACTCCACCTGTATTTCCCTGGTGGTGTGAGTGTATGTCAGGTGGTGGTGTGAGTGTACAACTATACAACTACTCCACCTGTATTTCCCTGTGTCAGGTGGTGGTGAGTGTACAACTATACAACTACTCCACCTGTATTTCCCTGTGTCAGGTGGTGGTGTGAGTGTACAACTATACAACTACTCCACCTGTATTTCCCTGTGTCAGGTGGTGGTGTGAGTGTACAACTATACAACTACTCCACCTGTATTTCCCTGTGTCAGGTGGTGGTGTGAGTGTACAACTATACAACTACTCCACCTGTATTTCCCTGTGTCAGGTGGTGGTGGTGGTGTGAGTGTACAACTATACAACTACTCCACCTGTATTTCCCAGTGTCAGGTGGTGGTGTGAGTGTACAACTATACAACTACTCCACTTGTATTTCCCTGTGTCAGGTGGTGGTGTGAGTGTACAACTATACAACTACTCCACCTGTATTTCCCTGTGTCAGGTGGTGGTGAGTGTACAACTATACAACTACTCCACCTGTATTTCCCTGTGTCAGGTGGTGGTGTGAGTGTACAACTATACAACTACTCCACCTGTATTTCCCTGTGTCAAGTGGTGGTGTGAGTGTACAACTATACAACTACTCCACCTGTATTTCCCTGTGTCAGGTGGTGGTGTGAGTGTACAACTATACAACTACTCCACCTGTATTTCCCTGTGTCAGGTGGTGGTGTACAACTGAGTGTACAACTATGGTGGTGTGAACTATACAACTCCACCTGTATTTCCCTGTGTCAGGTGGTGGTGTGAGTGTACAACTATACAACTATCCCACCTGTATTTCCCTGTGTCAGGTGGTGGTGTGAGTGTACAACTATACAACTATCCCACCTGTATTTCCCAGTGTCAGGTGGTGGTGAGTGTACAACTATACAACTACTCCACCTGTATTTCCCTGTGTCAGGTGGTGGTGTGAGTGTACAACTATACAACTATCCCACCTGTATTTCCCTGTGTCAGGTGGTGGTGTGAGTGTACAACTATACAACTATCCCACCTGTATTTCCCAGTGTCAGGTGGTGGTGAGTGTACAACTATACAACTACTCCACCTGTATTTCCCTGTGTCAGGTGGTGGTGTGAGTGTACAACTATTCCACCTTTATTTCTCCGGTGTCAGGTGGTGGTGTGAGTGTACAACTATACAACTACTCCACTTGTATTTCCCTGTGTCAGGTGGTGGTGTGAGTGTACAACTATACAACTACTCCACCTGTATTTCCCTATGTCAGGTGGTGGTGTGAGTGTACAACTATACAACTACTCCACCTGTATTTCCCTGTGTCAAGTGGTGGTGTGAGTGTACAACTATACAACTATTCCACCTGTATTTCCCTGTGTCAGGTGGTGGTGTGAGTGTAAAACTATCCCACCTTTATTTCTCCTGTGTGTTCCTCACAACAGGTGAGCAAGTCCTTGAGCAGCAGCTGGTACTTGGTGATGCGCTGCACTGGCTTGATGAGGAAGGAGGCTACAGGGTCGTTCAGCTTGTGCTTGCTCTGCATCTCCTGCAACAGCATCACAGATGTCAGGTAACATGTCATAAATACTGAGAGTGGTGCCGCAATCACCTGTACTCATAACAAAGGTTTCAAATTGCTGGATAATAACTTCTCATGTTTTGCCTAGAGCAATGTTTTGGTGTAGATTCTTACAGTCATTGATTCACCAACTTCACCAATGCCTCTCCAACAATCAGCTGTACCCAGCCCGGGCAGTCTAGACACAAGTCTACACAAACCAGTCATTGAAAGCAGCGATCTATGTCATAAGGGCATGGTGACAGGACAAGTCATACAGAGTGAATACCCCATCTGTTACATATGACATTTATAGGATACTGATGGCTGATTCCACCTTGAATCCCCAGAACCCAAATTGATGCTGACACAAATAGTCACAACTGTCAATGATAATGATTTTCACATGAAAGTAGTTCTTTCCAGAACAAATATTGCCATTGAAAATGTACCATGGAAAATATTTTATTCATATATGTCAGACCACCTCTCCAGATGTCTGACCACCTCTCAAGATGACTGACCAACTTGTCGGGAGTCTGACCAACTCTCCCACTGCTCTATTAACTCACCATGTCTACCAACTCTCCAGATGTCTACCAACTCTCCAGATGTCTGACCAACTCACCAGATGTCTACCAACTCTCCAGATGTCTACCAACTCTCCAGATGTCTACCAACTCTCCAGATGTCTACCAACTCACCATGTCTACCAACTCTCCAGATGTCTGACCAACTCTCCAGATGTCTGACCAACTCCTCTAATGCCTGACACTCTCTCAACATAGAATAGAATATCACTTTATCTCACAAAGAAATTTGTTTTGAAACAAAGGCTACCAGTACATAAATTAGATTAGTAAATACACATTTACACAACACCATTAAGATTCATATACCCATTTTTGTACCAAGCAGAGGACAATTAATACCTTATAATAATACTGGAAAGGAAAATTATCTAGAATATTATAATTTTTTTTTTTTAATTTCAATGTTTTACTGCTCTCATTTGTAAGGTACAAAATCTGACAGTTTCTAAGCGAAAACTAGAAGAACATCCCCCCCCCAAAAAAACAACCCCAAAAACAAAACATAAAAAATTTTAAAAAATCATACTCATACTGTTGCGAGTTTAAATTAAGCAGCTAGCTTTTACTATGTGTCTGCTTTTTACTTATACTTAGGCTAGACTAACTGAACAGTGGATGATAAAAAGCCCACTTTGTGTATTTTAATGTATTGAGTTTATTTCTGCTTGAGAAACTAATTTTCTCAATAGAATACCTCTGTTCACACACGTTCTTAAAACCATGGATGTGTGGTTTTACCCACTGACACCGCCATTTATACACAAAGAATTTAGCCATCAATAGTAAGAGGTCAAAAACAGTATCTGTGAGACTATTTGAGTCACACCCAAACATAACAAGTTGAGCAGAGAGCTTCAAATTGAATATATGGTCACATTTCTGTGTCAACAATCCATGGAAGTTACTCCAAAATATATCTACAAATGGACACTGCCAAAACAAGTGAATGAAAGTTTCTTCACATGAACAACAGAAAGTGCAGAGATTATTGTTTTATTTTATAGAGGAAGGAGTTGGTGGAAAGAATTCTATGCAACAATCTGTACTGGAACCACCTGAGTTTTGTTTCTTCTGTGGCCTGAAAGTTTTTTTTCATAGATTTTTACACATTCAACATCTGAAACAATCTGGTTTTGCCATTTACACTGAGACTGGACTTGAACTTGTGTCAATAAAACATAGTAATATAGTGTTCATCCAGAAGCTTCGGATACACAGGTGTCATGCTAAGGGGGACTGATATAGATTCTTTTTCAATTCATAGATTTTTTTCATAACACTTCAATGCACACAATACACCATAGTATTCCAGATAGGTTGTGGAAATAGAGTATGTTTCTATGAAGTATTTGTAAGACAAGCACAACCATCAGAATTAACAATATCACATATCTGGGAAACACCTTTATCAAACCAGTTTTTGTAAAGGAAGGACTTTTTATTTATCTTGATATTTGGGTTAAGGAATAAAGATTCCGAAAGGAAATCCTCCAAGGATTCTACAGAAACTTTGCTTCCAATCTCATTGAGGTATAGGAGACGCTCTTTCTAAAACACATTTCCAACTTTCTGTGACAATGGTTTAATGAAATCAGTACCCACATTTGAAAAATCATCTGTTTTGCACCAGCTTGTTTCAAATATGTTTTTCCAGCATAAATCAGAGCTAATGAGCTTTCTAATCCACACAAGTTTAATTGCTTTGACTTTTAGTGGAACGACTGTAAACTTTTTTCCATAGGCCTCCTTGTCCATTCGCCCGTGTATTCCATGCTGCTCTCCTTAATTAGCTTCCTAGTTCCTAATAAAGCTTGCAGCATGCTCCACTAATTGCCCACGTGACTACCTTGAATGATTATTCTCTTTCTTGTCGCACGACTGAGTGGACGTGTTGTATATTAGGGACATTATTTTACCCTTACATCATGGGGAAAACTGATAATCAGTCAAGGAAAATGAAAGTTTGTGCTCAAAGCAAGACGAATTATTCGTCCCTCGACCCTCACACGTCTTACAGTGACTGTATTGGACAATGTAACTGGAACGGCCTCAAATAGATCTGTTCGCCACAAGGTTCAACAACCAACTTCCAAAGTTCGTATCACCAATCCCAGATTCCTTGGCGTGGGACCTCGACGCGTTGGCAATATCATGGGAGGGTCTCAATGCCTACGCGTTCCCCCCTCCAGCTCTGCTACCAAAAGTAATACAGAAACTATTGGTCACCAGCAACATACTACTACTTTTAGTCGCACCCTTCTGGCCAGCAAGAAGTTGGTTCGTCAACCTAAGAAGCTTGGCAGAGCCAAACCCAGTACCGCTTCCCAACCACAGCCACAGCTATCACTTCAGCGCATCGTACTTCGACCCGTTCCTTGTACGCCAACAAGTGGAAGAAATTTGAAGACTATTGCAAGCTATGGGGAATTGCATCTCCCACTCCCACCTCGACTCAGGTCGTTGCTGAGTTTCTCCAGCATCTCCGCACTACTAAGAAACTCAAGGGTACTTTGTTAGCTACCTACTTAGCTGCCATCAACTCGAAGATTTCCACTGTTCCCGAGTTGCAGTGTCTACTACGCTCCTATAGACTCTCTGACCAGTCAAGGAAGTTCAGACCTCCGGCCTGAGTTCTGTCCGTTGTCCCTCGTCATATGATTTCTACAGATTATGAACCTTCAGAACACAAGGACTTCGAACAAGTGACATTCAAGCCATTCTTCCTGGTAGCTTTGGCTACCGCTGCTCGTATATCTGAACTGCATGTGCTTGATGTCAATCGGGTGCGGTTCGAGCGGAAGAAGCATGGCAAGGCTTTCCTGGGTCACAGCTGGGACTTCATTGCGAAAAACCAACTGCCAGGGCAACCGGTCCGGATGTTTACCATTCCCCCGTTGTCCACCATTCTTGGGTCTGATGATAATGAAGATTTGACAATCTGCCCTGTTAGGGCTCTACGCGTTTACCTTGCTGCCTCCAAGGATTGTCGACAGCTACGGAAGCGCCTCTTCATACCCTTGTCGAATGCTTCAAGAATTGAGGTTTCCCGGACCATATTAGCCTTCTGGATACGTGCACGATCCTGCGAGCCTACACCTTTGCAGGGTTGCCTCCTCCAGCAGCTTCTAATCCTCATGAGACGCGTGCACCAGCCTCGATGATGGCCCTCCATAGCAACTGTTCCTTGACCGCTATCATGGAAGGTTGCTTCTGATACAGTCTTCTCTTCACATTTACCTGCGAGACCTGTCTGTCACGGATGTCCAGGGACTACACCAGTTCGGACCTCTTGTACTGGCTCAGCAGCTTACATCAGCCCAACAACGCAGATGAGGGACGGTTCCGCATTCGCGTTACTACTTCCTTGTATATACTGAATATAAGTTGAACTGGATCTCAACCTTTTGTTCTCATTATATGGGTTTAAGAACTACTTCACTTGGCCTCCATACCATGGCATCGGAATATGGTCACCTAGCGTGGCCCTACGGACAGAGGTGTTCGACATTTACGCTTACTGATCTCTACTCCACGGAGCAATTCGCAGTGAAGTGTGACACTCCCGAATTCCAGTGGATTACGTTATAGCGTTCTGCCTCCAAACTGAACGTTAAACCTTGGAGATGCTGAGTTGTGTTTCTCTTTCACCCGCCTCGGTCGGTGTCTGGGGGGCCTTCTTGAAGCAGGGGCTGGCCCGATTCTAGTCACAAGACCTTAATTACGGGGGTACCTTGTAAATCGTGGCGAGGCGAGGCTTACTTGCTGAGTTGCGTCCCTTGTCTTGTACAAGGTTGTGGCCGAACACCACATCCCTCGAAAGCACCCATTTCCCTGGGAGTCGTTGTGCTTAGTAAGCCAAGGGGTTCTGGAGAACCCAATACAAGCATTGGAGTTACGTGCAAGCGTAACAGGCCTCCCTTGTACATCGCTATCTACGGTTGTCATCAGTCCACACAGCTCCAAGACCAGCTGTTGGCACTGTCCAGACAGAAGGGTAATCTGCGGCCCGCTGTCCAACCGTGGGATAAGTGCAAGTCGTGAGATAGGATAAGTTTAAAAATTTGGAAATTTTAATATAAATTGTATATTTATATACTTATTCTATCTCATGCGATGGATGCCCGCCCGGCCTCCCCACTACTCAGATTACAACGTTGGCTCCATGATGAGAATGATCATTCAAGGTAGTCACGTGGGCAATTAGTGGAGCATGCTGCAAGCTTTATTAGGAACTAGGAAGCTAATTAAGGAGAGCAGCATGGAGTGCACGGGCGAATGGACAAGAAGGCCTATGGAAAAAAGTTTACAGTCGTTCCACTAAAAGTTGAAGCAAGAGAGAGAGGTGCAAGTCGTGAGATATGATAAGTATATAAATATACAATTTATATTAAAATT